ATAAGCTTCTCAACACTTCTTCTAAGAACCTGCACACAAAAACAAATTATGAACGCTAAGCTCACAAGCTCAGTGCCACATTAATAACTAAATTATTCTACATTCATCCACTACATGGTCATGCTAGCAAGTAAATACATAAGCATACAAGTATGCTAAACACACATGCTAAGGTAGGCATCATAGTGTGGTCGGAGGGTTCACAACATCTCAAGACACACACCCCTTTAGCCTACCTAGGGTGAGATCTGAAATTTCTACATCAGAAACGTACACCCGGTCGACGTACTCCTTGTGAGTACAATGGACATCTATACCCGACCAACGATTGAAGTGTCTTAGCATTAATTGAAATATATTTGGATACGATCGTTATACTACTAGAGTAAATTGAGTGTCTTGACTTTTTCCTGGGCGTCACATAATAGCTAGTTTTATGCAATCTTAATTCATATTGTTTATAATTGTAGTTGCATTCATTAACTGTACTCACTTCTACTTTTATTGTGTGAGTTTTTGGGCCTATTAAACCCCTTTCTAAACCCCTTGAGTAAATTGAGTTTCTTACCCAATTCAAGATGATGGTATCAATACTAAACTTTTTAATATCAATACTGACCCTTTCGGTATCGGTATTTTGGTATCGGTACTCACCCTTGGTACTGATACCAAAACTGACTACTATTGATACCCCTATTTGGAGTATCAATACTCTTGTACTAAGGTATCGATACCAAAATTAGGTTTGATGTTTAAGAAATCAACTCGATATCGATACTCTTACTTAAGGTATCGATACTTCGTTTCACATGGTATCAATACTCCCATGAGTACCGATGCCAAAACTAGCTACTAGAATTTGTAATCTGAAGATAGTAATGATACCTTACCCTTGGGTATCGATAACCAATGAAGAATATCTCTACCCTATGAACAGTATATTGATAAAACTAAAAAATAATCTATTTTGAGCTCGAAAATGATACCCAACTTCCCTCATAAGCTCTACTAAGGGTCACAAGCGTTATTAAAGTCTTATGTATGTGAAGAGGGTCATTATAAGCCAATTTTCATATTGAATAACATCATAACTGAACTATACCATGAATACACTCATATGCTTCATGAACTCATGACAATTAGCTAAGAACATCAAATGACTCACAAGTGGTATAAAGGAGTTAGAAATATGTTACCTTGATCCTAGGCTGCTGGAAAACATTCTTAACACAACCAAGTACCAACTTCTTTTTGCTTTTCTTCTTAGAGCTTTCTCCAACTTCTTTCACTAATCAAAAACAAAGAAAATGAGTTACTAACCCATTTAATAACCTAGAATGAAGTTAAGAGTACTTTATATTGCTTGAATCTATAAAAAATGAGCTAAAAACATATAGGTTTCTAAACCCTCACTTATGGTTTCCATATCCATACTTTGTTATCTTGGGTTTGAAATAAAGCTAATGATGAGAAAATTACAACCCTTATCTTGGCATCTTCGGATTACACTTGCAAGTCACAAAGTCACAACCTTTGCTGAAATCTTGTGAAGAAAGAGATAAAGAAGAATAAAAAAGACAAACTTTTGTGAAGAAAAATATAAGAGAAGAGCCTCTTTTAAGCCATGTGACCTCATACCAATTACGAGGAATCAACCTTTCAAAATAAAATTGGGTGAATTACTTCTTTGGTCCTTCAAACTTTGGACTCAAATAAAAATGCCCCATTTTATTACCAATTGAGCTCAATCCAAGTCTAACTCTACTCGAACTTAGGCCTAGCTTTCCTACAAGGCTAATGGGTTTATCCTAAACCCTTTATTGTTAGCCCGAATCCAAGATTTGGGACGTTACAAAAATTGTGTTTCCAAAGATCAAAACCACTATTCTTTCAAGAACAACTTTTTTGTTCATCCATTTTTTTCTTTTTATCCAAAAAAAACACTTACACCCAAATCTGAACATGTTTCCAAAGATAACCCCCAAACTCTACCAATTTCTTTATCTTCTTCATATCTTAAAATCATACCAAAATCTAAAATATAAGCTTCCCAAATCTAAATCTACAACCCAAACTCAAAAGAGTTTTCACCATCTTCCCCTCCTATGTTTCCTGAAAACCACCAACCAACCTCCTACTACCTCCGACGATCGATTGACCACTTTGACCAATTTCTGACTGTTGTGACTCCCAAATTGACGACACTTCAACTTTTTCCCTCCCTTTTGAACCAAAAGCAAGCCGAAATAAAGAAAAAAAGGTTTACATCCGGTAACGCTTCGACCGTAATCCAAAAGCTCTATTGATCTTGGCAATGGTGATGGACAACGGTGGGTGGTGATGGACAACGGTGGGTGGTGGTGGGCGACAGCTTCAGCGAGGAAGGTTAAAATATTCATTTTTTTGTGTAGTTTAGCCTCTTGATTGTGTTTTTATGGTATGTTTAATGCTAATAATCGCTCAGTATTTATATTAATTTAAAAATAAAAGATCTAGCCTCGGATTAGTTACTTCCCGCTCGAAATTTGTTATGAAAACGGTTATATTTTCATGCAAGAAGCTTTCTTGCATCTTACTAATTTTTTTATTTTTATTTTTTGTAATTTTTCAATGCATGAATGACGATTGGTAACCAGAGGCAATGCATGCGGCTCATGAGCCGATAAAATAGTTGAATGGTCGATGACAATGGGAGCTTGATCCTAGGACATTGGATAAAATCTCAATTCAACGATCTAGATGTGTTTATGTTTCTTCAAATGGATTGATGAAGTGCCATCATCTTGAGATCGTTGGATCAAACTTCCATAAATGCCTCATGTGCATTTGTGTTTCTTCATATGGATTGATAAAGTGGAATCCTCTTGGGACCATTGGATCAAACATCCATCAAAGGCTCACATGCATTTGTGTTTATTCAAAAGACAAGTATCACAAAGCATCAAAACCTAAGGGTTTTTTTTTAAAAATTTTAATATGATGTGCTATGTATTTTGGGCTTTAGGGATTATTTATATTGAGTTTAATATATGTAATACGAAGAATTTTTTGGCCCAATAGGGCAGCCCAAAAAAATTGTAAAATAGGCCACAAACACTTTAATTTTGAAATTTACAATATTTTCTACAATGCATGAAACTCGTCACGTCGAAGTGACGAGTACTAATAAAAATATTGTTTATTCAAATTTTTTTATCTCAATGTGATAAAATTTAATAAAAATATATTTTATTAGAACTCGTCACCTCGAGGTGACGAGTTTAAATGGAAAATATTTTTTTATTAGAACTCGTCACCTCGAGGAAACGAGTTCGAGCTCCACTATAACATTTGTCGTATTCTCCAAAATAAAAACCCGGATGCCCTAACAAGCCAAAAAAACCTAATATGAATGGGTTTGAAAAATGTATATCGATTTGTATATGGACTTGGGAAGAAAAAAAAAGAAATGGACTAGATTTTATTTTTATATTGTACATATTATTTAATGGACTATTATCTAATAGAGTTTATTATTTATTATGGATTAACAAATAATATGGGCTACATAGTATCTAATATAATATATAATACGTACATGTATATAAAAAATAGCCGTCACTCAGACAAAATGAGTGATGACAGAAGCTAAATATCCATCTCCCTTAATCGTCGCGTATGACACCACCACATGCGGCAGCCCCATCACCCCATCTCACCGCCCCATCGGTGTTTGCCTTAATTGAACCCAAATGAGGTCATCTCCACTTTGATGGATTGTTAATAACAACAGATGGCATCAACCTTTTTCCACCGAGTTTGGTTAATGTTTAAAACAATTCGACGTTAAGAATGCATTTTTACAGAAGAACTTAGAAGATGTGTACATGGAACCTTCATCAGGTTTCAATGAATTGTATTTTTTTTTTTATAAAGAATGAACATGTTAAAGAAAGATTTGTAAGGACTAAAACAAGTGTCAATGACTTGGTTCACAAGATCTGCTAAAGCGATGCCAACGATATGTTACAAGCAAAGTGAATGAGATCATGTTTTGCTCATAAAACAATCAAATGGAGGAGTTGCAGTTCTAGTCGTATATGTAGATGGCATCATAATCACATTAAATGATCAAATTGGAAGAAAAACACCCAAGAAGTGCTTAGCAATTGACCTTAAATACGGAGCATGCCATGTCACACACCAATGAGAAAATTCAGAAGGAAAATCGACCTTAGTTGGTGCTAAGAGAACAATCACCTTGGAACCAAAGACGAACAATGTTTATAAATATATGTGAAAAATATACAAGTAGAAAGAGTCTAGAAATAATTTGACGAGTAGCTTTATGATGGACTAAAAGAGCTAAGAACTCACTGTAGACATCGAATGGTCTCACTATTTCTTATTATTTTTATCCATCGGTCCTTCTGATCTGATTTCGTTTTTTAGGTCAAACTATATGCCAATATGGTCATGTAAATGGAATTTGAATTATAACATTTGTTCTAGTATTCCCATACATCATCTGCAACCCAAAATAGTTTTTGGCAAAGGAAACAACTGGACAATTATTCTTCCTTTGCTTTGAAATCTTAAAGGCAAAGACTGCTACTTGTTGGTTAGTGGTGCTTGGCCATATAAACCCGGCATGGTTCGAGGGCCAAGCAGAAAATTTTCAAATAGAAGTCAAGTTTTCAGAAGAATCAGCTAACCTTAAATGTCATGGAAAAACAATTCATCACATGTATTGATCTTTCTCCCACTATGGAAAGTTCATGAACTCTAAAATGAAGTTACTCTATTGAGGTAGGCTTGTCTATACACACATAGCAGTATATTGTTTTTAGATGAAGCATTTAGAAACTTAAGCTTCATCAAAATCGTTGATATAACACTAATACAACAAGAAGGGTGTCTATGTGACACCATGTTTAAATTATGGAGAAAGAATCTTCAATTTTTCAATAAAACAAAATGGTTCAATAATTACAAAGGAGCAAGAAGACTATTGGGTGAAATGTTAACGATATTCTTCCATTTGCGTATACCTTTTAACCAAACTGAAGAAATTCAAGCAATATGTGAATCTTACCTTCATATCTGCTCATAAAATTCATAAATCAACTGAGAAAATGTTACTCATATTCAAACTGCACCTCTACATTCATATATTTCCTCATTAACCGAACAATAGATGAGGTGAAATTGGCCAATATTTGGCATTCTTCATGCGACTTGGATTCGGAGATAGATCCAAAAATAATGATTTTTCTAAGATTTGGGCACCGTTCTAGTAGATCCTCAACCCAATGCGAAAAGAGATCATTAATTACAGTCCATCCGAGCTCTAGCACTGTAACATTCTCCAAATTAGAAGACCCTTCGAGGCCATAATGCATTACACCATCTCTCAATTCATAACTTAATGCAAGGTGGTTCAACTGTGGAAAACAAATAGCAATTGTTTCCAAGTCCACAACCTCGTCTTCATCATCAAAGGCCACATCCCAAAGCCGAAGCTTCTTCAATCTCAAGGATCCTGAAATCATCTGATAGAATTTTGGCCAGATAATTGTGAAGTTACTAACATCAACTACCTCGAGATCATTGATATTCTCACCAATGTCGAGATGTATCACGCTAACATCATCAATCTTAAAATATTTCAAAGTACCTTTCCCAATCAGTTCAAAAAGTTCAAGGGCACAATCCCTCAAGTGTAAGCGCTCGATACTATCCGCCTCCAGCATAAATTTATCCAAACTAATCGCTTCAACATAAATACTCTTTAACGTAGGGCTGCTCAATTCCACTGTCACTTGAGCATCTGACATCGCTATCTCTGGACTAATAAGTTCTAGGCTCTCAAGCTTCGGACATGCAGTGAGCAAAAGATTCAAATCCAAAGCTGAAATACTAACATGACTCGGAGAGAGGGACTTTAAACAAGGGAATCTCTGAAAATTAGGTTCAACTCCTGTTATTGAATTGTGGGCTAGTGCCAAAATTTCCATCTTTTGCCTCCCACAAATTTCAAGGATGTTAACATGTGGACTAGTCCGGACATTGTAAAACAACCGGCGTAAGGTTTCCCTGGTATACATAAGCCAAGCAATAACGGTTGAAGCCGGGAACTCAGCAACATCATCTATCAAAACCGATAGGCCTTGCAATCCGGTAGTTTGGAATATTGTTTGAGTAATCAGGATCTCTAATTGTCTAGGCGTAATGTCACGATAAGGAGGAAAATCATTAGAGTTAAATGATAGGGCGTGAAGGTGTTTCCGACAAGCTTCTCGCCATTTTTTACATGTTGTTGAGGCTATAATCACATCCCGGGCACCTCCAAATCGAGACAAAATGTTTCCAATGACTTCAACCGGTAGCTGCTCCATTGCGACAAAGATGAGAAGCCTCAAATCCACAAATTGGGTTTTCTGAAGATACTCAAGTAGATTCAAGCAAACACAAATTCTTCACAACTCAACAAATAAAATTGACATGGGTTGAATCATTGCCCAAGTATTCTTTCCCAGGAGGGAGAAAAGTCCTGTGTTGAAAGGTCACAAAAACATTACCTTAGTTATACCTTCAAACAGATTTCACATACAAATAAAGCAAATTTAAGCGTATAATAGGGGGAAGGGGTTTCAGAGGGAAATTTAAGTAACATAATCTCATTGTATTCCGAATAAATAAAGATCTAATATCTTCAAGCAAAGGATCAAATTCAAAATCAAGTACTGGGTTGTTAAAACATGTGCTTTTAGGGTCTAAAACCAATTCAATAACTCTGTAAATAGAATAATCCCAGAATTCAAAGTACATATAAATCCAAAATTCAAAAAAAAAATGAAGGCTTAGCATCTGAGCATTTGATAAATATCTAAAATTTCACATCAAATGAAAAAAAAACCCTTACCCGTGATCAGAGAAGAAGAAGAAGAGATTTTCAAAAGGGCGGCGACTAATGATTTAAAGTGAGTGATGAAGAAAAAACAAGCAGCTGTGTGGATGAGTTGGATTCGAGGTTTCCTTACTCTTTTCGATTGGGTATTGTTTTTTAATGAAAATGTTTGGAGAATCAAATCAAACAATAGACATTAGAGAACGCTCGTTCCTTTTGCACCTCTCTGTTAAGCAAATCAAACCAATATCTGTCTCTTCGTTTCATAACTTCTTTTAATTTTATTTTCATTTGCCTATTTTTGAATAATTGTTTTGTTTTATATAGTACGTAAACTATTTTTTATATTTATATAGTTTTTCATTAATTCAAAAATCATCAAATTCTGCCAACACTTAGTATTGTGGATTTAAAGTCAATAATTCGAATCTTTACGATTACGAATAAATTATAATAAAATGATTACATTTGATTTTACAGTAATCAATTTAAATTAATCGATTAATAAATTAGATATTAATATTTATATAAAAAAATCATTAAATTCTCACTTTTCTTCTCCAAACGCTATGCAAATGAAGTCGTCTTACTGATTTTATTAAAAATTTTAGCGCAAGCCTTTAATATCCAAAATCCATAGTACTCTCTGAAAAATTAACCTGACTTTAAAATGTAAAAAAAAAAGTTTTAAAACCAACGAAATAAATCTGATTTAATGATAAAAATGTAGCAATAGATAATGTAACTGATTAAAATATAATATAATGATAATATAAATGATCAAAATATAACTTTTTAAATTTAATAAACAAAAATTATGCAAATATAAAAAGAAAATGATCAATCTGATAGTTTATATTTAAATCTAAGAATGATAATTTAGGTTTAGATAGGGGTGTTCAAACGGTCAATTCCACCACCGACCAAATCAAATTCTTTAAAATTGAATTAATCGAACTTTATTCTTTAACCAACCGTTTTTTTTAAATCATTAATTGAACCGAATTTTTTTATAAATTATTTTAGTTAAATTAATTTAAGTTTAATTGAATCATTTTTTATTTGGATTAAAATCTAATTAGGTTAAAATTTAATGAGTCTAATTAAAAAACAGTTGAGTCTTAATTTTTTATAATTTATATATATAATTTATTTAATATTTAATATTTTATGTTATTTCAATTAATTAATAAATTTCAAATAAAATTAATCATCATTTGAATATTAAAAAATCAATTATCAAATAAATTCGGTTTGATCAGTTAATTCGATTAAAATCGAGAAGCGATCCAAATCGAACTAAGGCTAGGCCCGACCATGGCCCAATATTATTGCCTGCTAGGGTTTTATTGTCGCTGTTTTCCTATATATTTTTCTAGTATCCACTTAAGAATAGCTTCTCTTCTCTCCGGTAGTGACTCTCTCCTCTTTCTCTTTAAACCTTCCATATCTGTAACTTTCATTTCTTTTCTCAGATCTAACATTACTCCTTACATTCTTTGCTTGTTGATAACTTCAAACTTTGTTTTACAGATTAGTTGTTGGTAGGTTTGTTCCCGGAAGGAAAGGAGTTTCAGAGATGAGGTAATTTTAGTTTTTCATTCTTTTTACTTCATTTTATCAGTCGGGAATTTGTTTTCTCTGATTTTCCATCCTTTTACATATATTCTGAAACTAAATATCCAACTTTACATTTTGGACCTGGAAATTTCAATTTTTTCCTCTTGTTTTATTTATATTATATGCCTTCAATGCCTTCAAAATTGTGCTTTTGACTCTAAATTTTTAGGTTTTGTATTTGAACTCTGTAAATTTTTAGGTTTCGTGTGCTTGTATTGACCTGATCTGTGTACCATTTTTGGCTGTTCATTTTATGGCTGTTGAGTTTATTTCTTTGCTTACATTGATCCTTCATCATAGTAATTTATGATGCGTGTTGTAGTATGTTCTTTTCTTTTCTTTCCTTTAAAGATTTTTTATTTACTATTTGCAGTAAGCTTCAGAGTGATGCCCTTAGAGAAGCTATTTCAACCATCGTGGCTCAGTCGAAGGAGAAACAACGGAAATTTACTGAAACCATTGAACTCCAGATTGGGCTGAAAAACTATGATCCCCAGAAAGACAAGCGTTTCAGTGGTTCCGTGAAGCTGCCACACATATTCGCCCAAAGATGAAGATCTGCATGCTTGGTGATGCTCAACATGTTGAAGAGGTTAATTTTCCGCTTTCTTAAATGAAACTTTGCTTACGTATGGTGCATAGGTGTCCCAATGTGTTTCCCCTTAGACAGAGACAACAATTGTGCCTTAAATCCTTCCAGGTGTAGTGCATTTGAATAGGTGCATGGCACCTGAGCCTAGACACACATTTCTTTAAGGTGACACGAATGAAAAGGCTGGCTTGATGTGATTTTCCTTTAATTTCTTTGTTTTTAACTTTTTCATTAGATGCATCTTTACTAGTTAGAAGGGGGTAGTATTGAACTCTTTGCTTCTCAATTATTGAATATTCAATAATAAACATGGAACCATAAGAAAATTATGCATATTGGTGATAAAAATAAAATTGCATGTTTCGTAGATGCATTGGATCACTCTCAGAATTTATTATTATAGTTACTTAGCTTGTTATATATACATATATACACATATAACATATATTGTGCCCTGATTCACTCAGGTGGACACTCATTATATGCCTTGTATACGAGGCAACTGTGTAACTCTTGTAGCTCCTGAAGTGGCCCGTGCACCCTTTACAACAACACTTTTATTCTTCGATGGCTGTTTGTGCAATGAGTTCTTTATTAACGGTTTATTTTGTACTGCAGGCTGAGAAGATAGGTTTGGATTATATGGATGTTGAAGCACTGAAGAAGCTAAACAAGAATAAGAAGTTGGTCAAAAAGCTTGCCAAGAAGTATCATGCCTTTTTGGCTTCTGAATCAGTCATCAAGCAGATTCCTCATCTCTTGGGTCCTGGTCTCAACAAAGCAGGCAAGTGTTTCATATCTGTATCGAATCTGTTTTCATCAATTTTTATTTTGTACTGCCTGAGACATTTTCTGGGAGACTAACTTTGTGATTCTAAATTATGATCTTGTGGTTTTTCGTGCACAAATGTAGGGAAATTCCCAACCCTCGTTACTCACCAGGAATCCCTTGAGTCCAAAGTGAATGAGACCAAGGCAATGGTGAAGTTCCAGTTGAAGAAGGTTCTTTGCATGGGAGTGGCTGTAGGGAATGTAGCAATGGTGGAGAAGCAGATCTTCCAGAATGTGCAAATGAGTGTGAATTTCTTAGTTTCATTGTTGAAGAAAAACTGGCAAAATGTGAGTTTTCTCAGCTTCTATTTCTTTAGGATTATGTTTTTTTTTTCATTTTTTTTATTTAGGAATGTTCTAGAATATGTCAATTTTTTTCTTGTGATACACGTGCGCGCGCGCGCACACACACAACGGTTGGCTGTATTTTCGATACATAGGCCTTTATTTTAACTTTTTTTTTATTTGGATCCTAATCTATCCTTGACCCTTTTGACCCTTCACTTTTAATCTCACATGAAGACATGGTGCTATTAAATCCTCTATATTCAAAATGCAAGTCATTTGATTTAACATTCAATTGGGTTTATTTTTGCATAAATCTGATTGAATTTGTGTTGATTGGCAGGTGAGATGCCTCTACTTGAAAAGTACTATGGGCCCTTCAAACAGGATCTTTTGAGTTGGTAACTCGTTTTAAGACTTGTGTGAGAGTGATAGTAGATGTGGGGATTAATATTAAATCAGATTTGAAGTTCAAAATTTTATGTTAATGTTTCGTTGGAATCTGTGGACTAATGAAGTTTTGTTTTGGCTGTCAATTGAGTTTTCATTGAATCCAAATAATAAACCATTGAACTGTAACATCTTGGTCAATCCGGTTGTTATACTTTTATTATAGTTCAATATTAATTACACAAGAGGTCTTCAAATTTTAATCTTATTCTAAATTCGTCTTTAAATTTTAAAATATTTTATCATTAAACTATCAATATTATGCTAATCGGTAACATGTGGTTAAAAAAGTTTAAATAAATGTTTCTGCCATTGGGATTTAAAAAAAAATAAACTCCCACGACTTTACCACTAACTTCTTGTATATGAAGCACAAATCAAACTATTTTGATAGTACAAAAATTGTTATTATTTTTTGAGGTTTTGTATTTGAGCATAAGAATTATTAGTGTGAACGTTGAATGTCGAATGATTGATAATTACCTTTGAATATATATTATCTTGTATTTATCCCATATTAATAAAAAAAACTTGTATATGGATGACAATAAAATAATTCTACTCTTAAATATAATTAATATTTATTTGATTGTTTTATCTCTCGTTAAAACAATTTTATTATTAACATTATTTTTTATAAAATTTATTGTCAATTATATTTAGTTACTATTTATATAGATTATATATTAAATTACTAAGTAAATTAGTGGTAGAAGTAATAAAATTTAACAAATATTTATATTTTATGAAAATTAGTTATCAAATATTTGTTATTAAATTTAATTAATAAATTATTATAAAGTAAAATGTTTTTATACAAAATCTATTGCTCTTTTGTTCTACTCTTAAATAATGATTTTACAAGTTTTAGTTTAAGATTATATAATAAAGATAAGAAAAACAAACCTATTATAATAATTAGTTTATTTTAAAATAAGGAAATTTTTATTTTTAGACGTTCATTACCTAAATATATCTTTAAAAGATTATTCTTAATTAAAACTGTATATTCATTGCTTGAACCCTACATAACCTAATTAATTAAATAAAAATTAATCAGCTATAGTAAAATAAGATTTAAAGTTTGAAGATGAGTTAACGTGTAGTGTGATTTTCAGGAGTTATGATTATGCTAAGGTTGGGGTTTAGGATTATAGTTTAGGGTTAATGATTATTTTTTTGTTCAAGTAGAGAAAAAAACTTAACCAAAACTAATGTATGATATTAGAGTTTTTGAATAAGAAACAAAAAGACAGCATATTAATACTCCCTCCGTCCCGAATTCTTGATTTTCATGCTCGAGTGAAAACACCTTTCGTGATCAATGCATATCCTTATTCTGCATACAAGGATGACCCTAACGAAGTGCCACTAGATTATGTACTTCTCCAGCCTAATCAAGGGATGGTGGATCCGGTTACCAATTTGAAACATGGTAACATGTATGCTCAAGTTGATGCTGTTTATTCAGCTATCAAAGCAATGAGACATACCACTATCGAAGTCCGGGTCTGGCATTCCCGAGGTGTCGAGGATGAAGCAGGAGCTACACCAGAGAATACAGGGTTGCACAATGATAACCTGTTGAAAAGAATAGAAGAGAATTTAGGCACGAGGACGAAACCCAATATCCCGATGGACATATACATTTTCACTCTTTAATGGGAACTCAAATCCCTGTCCTGCATCGTAGAGGAACTATGGTCTCTACTACCCTAAACCCAGTCCTGCGTCAGAAAGGAACTATGGTCTCTATTACCCTAACGGCACCCCGGTTTATGACATGATTTGAAGGTCCTCTACAAGGGATGGTATATTCATCACCTAGCAAAAAGATTGAAAGTAAAGAATTCTCTGTATATCCTTGTATCTCCTCTAGAAATCTATAGTTTTCTCAAGAATTCAATCATGTTATTCACCATGATTTGAATGTTTTTTGCAGGCATAATCTATAGCTACAAGCAGTTGGGTTCTGCATTGCGGATTCCAAAAGAACCTAATAGAAAGTAACAAGGTTTCCACCAAAAACAAGGTAGAAAGAATTCTCACAAAAAATGTTCTTCTCCTTGAATTTCTTTCATAAAATATTGTAGCTTATCCACTTTTCTCTCTGTAAGCAGAAAATAAACCAGTCCTAGTTCCTGTTGCAGATGAAAATGGGATCTTAAATTTGAGTTTGGTTCCCTCAACCCCAGCACTTCTCTTCTCATGTCATTGATAATCTATTTTCACCAATGAATTTCAATATTCCCCTTTTATTCTTCAGAAACCTTGAAGAAAGTATAGGATAAAATAATGTTGTTTATACCATCCATTCGGGCATCTGTTTCAAACTCGGGATCTATGTAGAAGAAAACCTGCAAGAAAACGAGTCAAGTTAATAAAGATCACAATTGAGTTTTGCCTTTATAACAGTAACCATTCTTTCTTTATTTTCTATTATTTATTTTATTTAAAAAAAAAAGGCTTATAGGCATGTCAATCTGCTCTCCGGGAAGAAGACGCTGCTCCTCAAAGCAAAAACTCTGTATTTTATTGAAATAAACTGCAGCCTGGAATGAAGATAAAGAAGTGCAATAAACCATGTCAAAATTCTAAGGCTCGCCTTAATGATAAATCTTACCAGTAAGCTAATCTGTTTCAACATAACCAATTTTTTACCACAAAGATCTATGTCCCTTCCTTAAGTAAGATGTTTCTTTAGTCGGGCAATTTAAAAAAATGTATAACCAAACCAGGTAAAAAAACCAAATAGAGGATAATAAAGGAAACAAACTGTTACTAAAAGCATATGAAAACGATTGCGTGGCTCAGAATTGAACTTCAACCTGCCTCAGGGGCTATCTCTCAACGCTGGAATTTTGCTTATGATTGTAATATAGACCAGTCATAGACCAGGATAAAAACACTGTTGCACATTCTACTATTGTGACACTTGGAAGCCCCAAAAGCAAAATTATTACCATAAAAGAAAGAAACATTCAAACATACTTGATAGGAGATTAGAGATAGATTAAACACAGATTCCACTAAAATATTTAGGAAATAAATCTAGACATGGAGAGAGGGCAAGAGAACGGAAGAGATTATATTTATGTCACAGGACCTACCTGTGCGAAAGAGGATAAAGGAAAAGCAGAGCTAGTCAGACAAATTTTCAATCCAAACTAGAAAATAGTGAAAAGGAAGCAACAAAAATAGAATTATTTGAAAAATAATATCAAAGGAAGAATGAAAAAGTAAGTATACGTTCAAGCACAAATAACGCTCAAGTGAAACCAAAGCTAGCAAGAAATAGTTAAAAATCCTAGAGGCTTATAACCAAGTAATGCATGACAGAACAACAAAGATCTAAACAAATGCCAGTAACTTAAATTCAGAAGTAATAAATAAATCATTGGAACAATTTTTATTAGATCATATGCATCAATACCTTCAATGCCGTTAATTATTATTTTTGAACAATAACTCACTTAGCAGATTTGTTAGAAAATACCCTCAAACTGTACACGTAGGACTACCTCGCGTTTTATCTAGTGGGAGAACGTGTCTCGCATTTTATAGGAGGCAAGGTATTGTGCAATTTTCAGATTACCAATTTAATATGATTATTTAGTACATCGCGTTTTTCAAAACGCTAGGTTTCCGAGATATTGAGAAATTATCGTTCGCAGAAGTTTCAAGATTTAAAATTTGAAAAGAATCCCCGTACCTTGCTCTTTGTAACACGAGGTACCTTTTACCCCTCGTTTTGGGGGGAGTGCGAGGTCCACTATAAAGAGGCCTTCATCCACCCGAATTTCTCACATCTTCATTAAAAAAAAGTCTCATATATTCTCTCATATTATTATTGCAGGACTACTGACGGCTGATCTTCTATATGTATGCACCTATAGGCAGAAAAATTTGATGGTAATTTTTATTTATTTTGGATTTATTTATTTTAAATTGATTTATTGATATATTTGTTTATTTATTTTGGATTTATTTATTTATTTTGAATTTATGTATTTATTTATTTATTTTATATTTATTTATATATTCATCTCAAATTTATTTATTTATTTATTTTAAATTTATTTATGTAATTATTTCAAATTTATTTATTTAATTATTTAATTTTTTTTATTTTTTTTATTTAGTTATTTTAAATTTATTTGTTTGTTTTGAATTTATTTATTTATTTATTTGAAGGGATATGAACGTTCGTTGATGAGTTTTATCAACCGTTTCCCATCCCCTAATGACGATATTATTCCCACACTTGCGCGAAGCTTGTTTTGGTTATATTGGCACCGTAATTGGTGGTGCAAAGTTGCACCCTCCATTGATGAATGTATTGATTGAACGGTGGAGATCAGAGATGCACACGTTTCATTTTCCTTGTGGGGAGGCTACTGTTACCCTTGAAGATGTCGCATACCATCTTGGACTGCATGTTGATGGAAATCTTATTATCGATATGGCTCATGGGAACTGGGGAACTGCTCGGAGTTACTCCGATAGAGGATGATTTGGATGGAGGGAAGATCTACATTAAATTTTTGGACGATAATTTTGCGTAGCTCCCCGCCGATGCTACTCTAGAAATTAAACAGGTAATTATTTAAATCTATGTTTATTTATTGTGATTTATTTATATATAATATTTAAATTTTGTTTTAGTTTATGTTATTGTAATTTTTTACGATAATTTTTAATGTATTCGTACCATTTTTATTTTACAACAACTTGCTCATGCTCATATTTTACAAGTTATTGGGGGGGGGGGGTTCTTGATGCTTGAAAAATCTTGAAACAAAGTGTATCTTACGTGGTTGTATCATCTACGTGATTTGTGGGCCTCTAAAAATAAGAGTTAGGGATTGGCAGTGTTGGCCTTTTTGTTTCGAGAGCTATGTAAAGGTGTTAATTTGAACAAACAAACACTTGGAGACTATTTGATGTAGTTACAATCGTGGGCTTGGTTTCAAATGCCCTTTTTAGCCCCAATTCCTTTACAGCCGACCCCATTACAATTTTCACTACTTGGAGGTAATTACAAATAACATACGTTTATATATTTATTACAACATGTTTTTTTTGTTTTAAAAATAATTATATTTTATCATATGAATGATAGGTGGACCGTCACACTTAGTCAGTCCCACCTACCAAAAAGTTTGCCTGATTTTAGATTGTCAATCGATAAGATGACAGACGAGGTAATTGATTTTATAATTTTAATTTATAAATTAAAAATTAATTTTTTATTCGAGTTTTTCTAACATAGTTTAAAAAATATTTGTGTAGGTCGTGTGGACGTAGTGGATTGGGTGATGCAGTGGATGTCAAGGCTCGTTTCTGAACCCATCTTGGCCTATGGTATTTCAGATGATTACATGTCGTGGTACAAGTAAAATGGAATGCCACATATACTGACCATAGAGGAGCGAGCGCAAGAAATTTATAGGCCTCCCCCAAACCGTCCGCCCACAAAATGTTCCGCGACACAACGTCCCTCAATGCAACGCGGTGCAAGCTAGAATAGACGAAAACACGCCCAACCATCATTATCGGGAACGACATAAGATCCACCTAAAAAGCATCCGAAACTGCTGATGGCACCTACATTCAAGCACTCGACTCAGTTAGTATTTTAGCATATGACAACTCTGTAAGCATTTCAGCATATGGCGCCACCGACGAAAGGTTTTTTCACCGACGTATTTCGTTCCTATTCGACGGTCATTGTCCATTCTCATTGCCCTCCTAGACCAGCTGAACCATATTATCTGTTACCTTCATGTGCATTTGTTCGACCATTGGCAACATACTTAAGATATGACAGTGTTGAGTAGACACCGTCGCAAAGCATGTTCTACACCGGTCTTAGTCCCAGTGGATGAGTGTGATGATGATGGTGGTGGTGGTGATCAGAGTAATGATGATGCCCCCAAATATAAATTGATTTGTAGAAATCCGTCAGCATTTCAGCATATGACGTCCACCACATAGGCATCATTAGTTGTTTAAATTTGTAATTTTTTAGTTATTCGAATTGCATTTTCTTTTTTTAGTTAATCGAACTCCGTTTTCTTTTTTATTTTAAAAAAGTATTTGAATATAATATAATGTTCTAGTTTTCTTTTAAAATTTGTTTAAATTATTAATCAACTTTAAAGTATTAATTTGTTTAAGTTATCCTTGAACAAGTTGATAATTAGTTGTTCGGTTTTATTCATAAACAACTTGGGAGTCATCATACTCACACAAAATTTATTTTTAATACTAATTTTAAAAACATAATAAAAAAAACTACACGAGCTATTTAAAGCTCTCTCTCTCCCCGCCCGCCCCGATGTTCATGGGCAATACGTAGCAGAACTAGCTCTTTGTCCTCATAGTCTTGTGATAACCGAGTTACTCATTCATTACTTCTTGAATATGGTTCTTCCTTAAACGTTACAATCAACTTGATGTTCCTACAACCAACACATGTGTAAGCCTTAAACATCTTTCGAAGGTCGCTTGTATTCGGTAAGGTCAACATGCAATATGCTTCAGTACCGATATTTCCCACTAGAACTTTAGCTTGCAACGAACACATCTTTCATGTTGTAGATTTTTAAGCTCCATTGAAATCAAATCGTACAACTCATATTTCATAATATTGACATTTAAGGAAGTATAGAAATAAGTTCCATAATGAAACACAGTTGCAAAAAAGCGTGCCATTAATATTTGTTTTACGAAGGTATTTCATCCAAAATGGACATTGATATTGTTTTTATAGACATATTTTCTTGCTCCTTTTAATGCGAGACTTACCATGCCAAATCAAATGTTGCTTATACGTTAGGAATCTTTTTCACGTCAGGAATCTTTGCCACGTCAGGAATCCCTCAGTAACTCTTATTTTGCAGAGAGTGAGTTTCCTACCACGTCAAGGATCTCTATAAAACTTGTGTTTTTCACAATGCGAGATTACCCTACTATAAATAAATATCCCCATTGCGCTGATATTGTAA